AAACAAGTTCATTTTGATAGATTCATGAGTGTCATGTACCGCATAAAATCAGTTCGAGCTCAGTAAGCACAACCACGTCGACTTTTGAGAAAATTAAAAGCTTTTAAGTGTGCCTTATAGTATGAAAATTACTATATTTTTTCTACAATAATAAAAAATAAAAAAAATCACATAGGTCTGCACAGTTCATAGTTTTTTTTTTTTTTCCAAAAACTATTTCCCCCCTTCTTTACAATAATCTGGTCTTTTCATTAGTCTTATATTGTAAAAAAAAATAAAAAAAATCAATAAAGGTTAAAAATCATTAGATATTTTTAGCTTTATAATGTCACCCCTACTGGCAACAAAAGTCTCCTCTAACAAACCTCAAGTGGCCCATGGGCCACCAGTTGATAATCACAGGTTGATGTGGCTCTGGACATGTTTAATTTAGTGAATGAAGGTGTAAAAATGGCTCTTTTGATTATAAAGGTTGCAGACCCCAGGTCTAGAGGGTGGAATACAATTTATTCCATTTGAAAAATTTAACAGTTTGGAAAAAATGTTAAAGATGACAAAAGTCGGCGGCCGACCTCAGGAGCAACTGATTACAAGTTATAAACAGGAAGTACCACGTGTTCATCTGTACGAAGTAATCCTCCATTTTCTGTCATAAATTACACTGTATGCTTAACGGTTAATGATTAAAGCTAGTTGTGCTTTGTTTTGTGTGATTTATATGTAGATGTAACTTCTGGTTGCATAAGTTTAGTCTTTGTTAAAACTAAACAGATTTTGTACAAAGTGTTTAATAGGTTAATGTAATACTCTTACATACTGGATTTCACTGAGTTCTTGCCCTGTGTGTCGCTCTGCAGCGTGAACTGCAGTAACTATTTTAAGTTATTAGTAGCTTGGATCTTCTTCTCCTGTCTTCTTTGCCTTAACGTTGGCCGATAAGGCAGAAATGCTTCATTAAATGTCTCAGGTAACGTCGTGTGTTTCACTACCTCCACCATTACAGAAAATCACACTGAGGCGTCCAGAAGGCTTCCGAGTCCTGGCTTGAGGTGTCTGAAGCCTTAAAACTATTACCTTCAGTAAAGACTCTTTTATTTATTTAACTTGAATAAATAAATAAAATCTTTAGATTTAAAATGCTGTCTGCATGCAGATCAATGACCATACTGCAGACCGACCATCGTTTTATTTTCTATTGTTACAATAAAATAAGCACCGACGTGACGTTAGATCATATTAAAATCTTTCATATTTCTTACACCAGCTCACGGTTATTACCTCCCAACATGATTATTGGTGAAAACTCAGATGAACTTTGTTGCAACCCCTGCTGATAAAATAGACGAAGTTCTTACAGCACCACATAATGAAGACGTTCAGTTCCAGCAGCTCATGATGTTGGTTTCACAGAAAGATGCGATTCTGAATTATTAAAACCCAATTCTCTCTCTCTTTTGTTTTTTTTTTTCAGACAGTCCGGCTGTCACGCCGCGTCGTTTTGAGCGTCTCAAATGAGCGTTTGAGCTCCTCCAAGTTCGTTCTTATTTTGCAGGCTTCTGGTCGCTCTTCTGGCTTGAAACTCAGCATCGACCTGATCGTTTGGCTCTGAAACAGAATCACAACAAAACGATTATTGGAGCTTCTTCTACTCGTTCCTTAAATCTCCTGAGAGCAAAGAAAACTTTTACCGTTTGATTCTTCGTATTTATCAACGGTGCACTTCGGTCCTGATGCTTTTAAAGCTTCACACATAAATTACTAATGAAGTAATTAAACTAATTACTAGTTAATTGTTCTACTCCTGTTATAACTGTCTATAAGCTAAAGTACTGTAGGTGCTATATTTACCTACTTTATGATTTCTAGTTCAATTCACCTTTTCTTTATTATTAGACACATTTCTGTTTTAATATACTTTTGAGACATTTTAATTTTTATCATTTTTACCCTCCGTCACCAAATGGGGCTAAAGGCTGAAATCGCCTGGGCCTGTGTTTCTTTGTCTGTTAGCAAAATATCTCATGAACCGGTGGACAGATTTTAATGATCAGGAAGTGATCATTTGATGTACATTTACAACTGATTTGACTTTCGGAGACAGTCCAGTTCAAGTTGGCTGCCTCAGATAGGCAATGTTAGCGAACATAAAAATGGTTATATTCGGTGTGGTAGTAGCTGAGAGTCATCCCCAACATATATTCTGAGCGCTAACAGATCGTGTAAGGTCTTATTTTAAAACGTTGACAGACAAGACAGTGGATGATACGAATTGTTTCGAAGAACATCTAATATTTCTTTTTATTTTATGTTTGCATTTAAAAAAGCTAAAAGCTAAAATAGAAATGTGCTTTTCCCACTGATCAAGTTAATAATGTCAGCTATATGAAAAACACAATCCTTCAATATATGAACTAAAAGAATGGTTTTGTACCTCTTCGGTAAAATGTTGACAAAATCCCTGCGGGAGATTCTGGGTTCTGACATCGTCCCAGATCTGGGGTTCAAGGAGTAATAAGAGAAAAGAGATGGTTTCATTAGACGTTTGACGTCACAGCGTCGATGAACTTCAGCAGGTGTTGTGCAGATGTCGAGAAAATTAAATGAAAAATGTTAGACCTTGTATACATTTTAAAAAATTAACCAAAAAGAGTTTCTGTCAAAAGCTTGCAAACATTTGATAAAAGTAAAAGTCACAGCAAAATCAGATTTTTTCTTTGTTCCTTTTAACAACTTGTGAATCGTTTGAACAAGTTTGAATTTATTTCATTTATGAAATTCAAACCCTGTAAACTGTAGAAAATACTTGATCAAATATATAAATAAGCCTCACTAAATATTTAATGTTGAGCAAGTTCGCACCTTAGTACTTTTGGAAACCACCAACAAGGTTTGGGAAGAACTCGGATGGTGTTTTGACCATTTTTAAGAGTCCAAATAAATTTCCTCCACTTCTTCTAATGTGAGTTTTAAGGACTTTCCGTTTCCAATTTATGAACAAGGCTAAATAATCATAAAATTTAAAAAAAACGTCTTTGATCAACATACCTTACTCTTGTCATCGATAGTCGGTATGTTCCAAAGGAGTTCGAAGTAGATCAGCCCCAAAGCAAATATGTCCACTTTTCGGTCATAAAGGATCCCGTTCCTCTGTCAAGAAAATAACAACATGAACAAAAAACATTTTTACGTGCAGAAGATCAGAAGGTCACCTCAAATCTGAGCCCACCTGCTCAGGAGCCATGTAGGACGGGGTTCCTTTGTAGCCTCTCCTCTCCCTCTGGTTCTCCGAGTCGTCTTCGATCACGGGAGTAACGAGACCGAAGTCTCCGATCTTCACCGTGCCGCTCCGATTGAACATGATGTTTGCAGGCTAATTGTAGGACATGAACAAATAAAATATGCAGCTTCACGATGTAAAAACTTCGACGATCATTTTGCTCAGATTTACACAGTTGGATAAATTGACGGTGGAAATAAAAATAAAAACAGGAACATCAGGGGTCTCCACGAGTCGTCCTCCATTAGTCCTCTGTCCTCACTCCAACTAGTCTTTTTCCTGGCAGCTGCATTTCTAACATCCTTCTACCAGTATACCCACTGTCCCTCCTCTGGACATGTCCAAACCACTGTCTCTCCTTTGGACATGTCCAAACCATCTCAGTCTGGTCTCTCCAACTATCTCCCAGTTGTTCAACCTGTGTTGTACCTCTGATGATCTCGTTCCTAATCTGATCCATCCTCGTCTCTCCTTAAGGAGAACCTCAACATCTTATTGTTGTCTCCTGTCTCTCTGTCCATGTCTCTGTCTCCAGACCATACAACGTAGCTGGTCTCACCACTGTCTTGCAAACTTTTCCTTTCACCTTTGCTGCCACTCTTTTGTCACAAATCACTTCTGAAACTTTTCTCCATCCACTCCATCCTACCTGGGCTCTCTTCTTAACTTTTTTTACCACATTCCTGGTTTTCCTGGACAGTGGACCCAAAGTCCTTGAAGTCCTGCACCTTTGTGACCTCACTGCTCCACCTCCTCACTCTCTTTCACACACATGAACTCTGTCTTACTACGACTGACTTTCATTCCTCTTTGTTCAAGTGCATACCTCCACCTCTCCAAGCTCTCTTCCACCTGCTCCCTGTTCTCACCACAGATCAACATTGTCTGCAAACATTGAAGTTCACAAGGATTCCTGCTAATGAGCAACTACCTTTGTCTTCACCCAGTTTTATATGCCGTTATATGTTCTTAATAGCGGTACTGATACATTTATTGTGAATTTGCTTCATATAAATAAACTAAATTGAATTGAGGTCCATTATGAATCTCGGCCAGTCGTAAAAACTGGTGTCCTCGTCTTTCAGGTTATAAGTATTGAGTGTATTTAGTATATTTCTGCAGGGTTTGTGGTTCTGCCAAAACTGGCCCTCGTCTCACCTTCAGGTCTCTGTGGATGAGCCACCTGGAGTGAATATACTCGACTCCGCTGATTATTTCCAGGGTGATGGAGAGACTTTCTTCTTTCCTCTTGGAGTCTCGCAAAGATTTTTTGGGGTTTTGAATGTTTTTCTCATCTATCCACACTCTCAGTGTTTTAATATCACACAACTCCATCTGAATGTAAAGAAACTTCACAGTTGAGTCAGCGGAAGACCTGAGGAGCCAAACAACAGAACGGAGAAGTAAACGTGATGTTTGAACGGTAAGAAGACTAGAGGAAGCAGCGGACTTACTGTGAAGCACTGCTGGTGTCGGATGAACTGTCCCACAGATGAGCCGTGTCCTCTATCCAACATGAGTAGTACCGAACGATGTTACAGTGATTGAGGTCCGACAATACTTTCACCTCTTGTAGTGTTTTTCTGGCCCAAATGAGAAAATTAAATACATTTTAAAAAGTTTTATCTAGTTCGTATTTATTCCTTTTTCAAAAACAAACTGCATTGTTTGGGCAAAAACACATCCACTGACATAAAAAAGTTAGATGCCCAGAAAAAAAGACCTGATTTAGACATATAATCCAAATACAGACCAGTGATGGGTCTATCAATGATTTGATCTACAAGGAGCTGGCACCTTAGAACAGGCGCCAGAGGGCATAAATATCCATCAGTCAACACAACAAGTGACTGTCATCACAGACAGTACCTCGTATTTGAGGAATCACAAGCACTTGATAAATGCTGATACCAATGGGTACGTGACATACAAAGTTCTAGTCACCCAAGTCAAACCACACCAAGGTGGGATAATCAAATTGATAGACTGTTACAAAACTCCATGTCATCCCCACCATGTCTCGATAACTGGCATCAGCTGGTCTAAGGGTTCAAAATATTTCAAAGGGGCTGAAAAAAGGATGAGGAACACTGATCTACAGGTTCACCATCCAAGTGTTGATGGTAGCACTGGTGTGGTGCCATGGCCAGGACGCTCAGACTGATGACAAACGGAGTTGCATCATGTTCAACATGAATCTTGGTTCAACATTCTACGTATTGATCAACCTTTATTTAACCAGACAAACCCATTGAGATCACAGATCTCTGGCCTGAAGGCAGACGAACATGCATGTTTTGCATGTATGAAGTCGTCAATGGGAGAGGATCAACAGCTGTTAATCCTGGCATCATAGAGGTCAACCAGTTCCAGTTTTTCCAAGGTTATGCCGATCTTTAGAAATCAGGGCAGCTGATAACCATCACACAACACCAGTTACTTTTATTATTGACCAATATACATTTTTCATTTAGCAAAATACATCAATAATTGCTCAACCTAAGAAAAAATGTACATCTAACAATCCTTGGGGAATATTGTACACCTAATAAATATACAGAAGAGTATTATTGCTTAAAAAATAAATTGAAGGCGACAGTAAGCTGGTTACAGTTGCTGCATCTTCATTTTCCTACTTAATAACTGATTAGGTACGCACAGGTGTCTTGGTGTGAGTGAGTGTGTGAATGGTTGTTTCGTTCGTCTCCGCGTCCCTGTGATGGACTGCGACCTGTCTCGGGTGTACCCCGCCTCTCTCGCACAGTGGTAGCTGGGACATGGGAACCAGTGACCTCCGCAACCCAAAGAGGAAGAAGCGGGTAAAGATAATGTATGGATGAATGGCTATGGGTCTGAGTTCAGGACTCCTCAGGTAGGGAGTTAAGGGACCGTGATGGCTACCCCTCTTTTTGTCTTTCAACAAAACAACGCCCCTGTCAACGGACTGCTGAGTTCTACCAATCTCCGCAATCAAATATGTCAGGGATCAAGTTGTTGGAGCTTAAGGACCAGTTTTTGCAGCTTTGGGCCAAACACCAACTGGCTAAAGGAGAGGATGGCTCTGCTCTGAACCCAGTCACAGCTGGTACCCAGGTCCACCTCACGTTACTGACATGGACCAACAATGTGCTCGTACTACAGACTCCATTTTCTGTTTCATCTGCGACTGCAACCATCGCAAAACTATCGCCTTTCCCTCTCTCTGCACGGGCACCTAATTTTCTTAAGTCAGTGAGTGGAAATAAAACTTAATACTTGACTTACTCTTTATATTGTACGATCTTCACTGCGTAATAATTGTTCTCCAGTTTATGCCTCGCCTTGAAAACACGACCAAAGGATCCTTTATCCAGATTTTCTATGGAGTCATAATCAAGCGTAAACCTGCTGAAAGTAACAACAACAACATTGTTAAGCCAGTATATATAATTTTTAATTCAGTAGATTAAAAAGTATTCATCCTTTTGTGTTTTTTCTGTTTTGTTTTAGTTTACTTTGAATGAAACTCGTTTAAAAACCATTAAAATGGTTGAAGTGAAAGGTGGACAGTGGTTAAGTTTAAAAAATATGACCTAAACTCATAAAATACTTCATTAGGAAATAAATATACTACAGTAATTACAGTCCACCTGATGGATTATTATTTTTTTTTTTTACTTTACTGCAGTAACAGAAGGTTCTGAAAACAAGAAACTGAAACTCAATATAAATTAAACCCTTGTGTCAAACTCAAGAGCCACGGGCCAAATCTGGTCCCCCAAAATGATCATTTAAATGTAAAATATTGTATCTCTTCTCATTTTTTCTTTAAAAAACTTGATAAATACATAACTTAGTACACACTTCTCCTGCCAAATGGATAACTTTGAAGCCAGAAAGAAGGCTGGGTCATTTTATCATTATTGATTCTGATGTGGAAAGAGCAACAGAACGTCGTGAGACTGATCAAACTCTTGTTCGTGAACCTGCAACCAAGAAAAGATCTCAGGTATCTGACTCGAGTTAATGTATCAGCTGAAAGTGGCCCGTGGCTCGGACAAAGTTTTTAAATTTTGGCTCCTTTTGGTAACTGAGTTTGACACCCCTACTTCTTGATACTCTAAATAACACAACACAAGCGACGTAGCAATTTAAAATCTTCCATTTCCGTACCTTGAAGTTGATACTGGTTGTGTTGCTGGTTTGGCTCTCTGCGTATTTCCTTCAGCCTTAACTTTAAAGTTGATCAAATGCTTAACAAAAATCGTAATAAACAGTTAAAATTTCAAACAAAAACAAATGAAATAAAAGCGAAAGTTGTTTTACTTTACCTCTTTACTGCGGTCACTAACATTTTGGAAATTAGCTGCGATTCTAACGAGTAAAGATAATTAATCAGGAGTAACGTTTCATTAAATTTTGTGCAACTCTACAGTGAAATAAGTCTTACTTTATTTTGGGCTTCACATAAGGACTTTGAACCTGTGGAGAAATTGTACTTTGTTAGGCATAAACCGTTCAAATGGCACAAATTATTTCTTAAAAGCACAAATAAGTTAGTGACAACCAGCTCAGAATGACTCGTTACTTCAGAAAAACCAGATCACAGCCAAAGAAAAAGCTATTCCACCTGGATGTTGGGATTGGAATCGATGAAAACAACTGGATCACTTGTCCTTGGTGTCAAACTGCTGGATTCTTTCGGACCAGAGGGCCTTAAAAATACAACAAAGACACAATATTAGTGTCAACTTTAAAGAGAACCGTGTGTCGTTACGCTCATGAAGAGGCTCACGTTGAACTCGTTGGAGGAGAATCTTTGGATTCAGCGCCTTCATCAGACGCAACCTGGAAACACAAGGAGGCAAGTTCGCTGATACAAACTGGCATGAATAAAACAATAACCAGCTTTACACTAATGTTATTTCAGTAACTACCAATGGTACATTATACACCTGTTGATAAATTTATCAGAATCTAAAGCATGAATTCCCTCACACAACACACCTAAATACACAAGTCTACTACGTTTATACATAACTGTGGTGGGGTCAAAGGTCATTTTAACTGACAATGATGTAGTCCATGGTGGAGATCTACAAACAGGTCAATTAAAGAACCTGTAAGAACACGAACCTGCAGCTACCAGGTGTGAAGAACTCACCTGTTGATGAATACCAGCTGATCCAAACGTTTTCATGGTCAGAGTCAGAATTCACCAGAACCATTCAAGTTTTCTTTGCTGCAGATAGTCTTAATAAAACAAGGTCCAACATGGAGACAGAATCTGAGGACATTTTCTGTCCTAAACATTTGTGGAGTTCCACCATAGACGACTTCCTGTGGAAGTTCCTGTCTTATGGATGGACAGATTAGGACAATCGAAGGGACAAAGGGTTTGACCTTTTTAATGTTACGCCAAACTGGAGCGTAGACAAGGGTTTAACAAAGAGGTCACATGTGACCTTGACCTTTGACCCCATGACTTTGAAACCCCGAGGTGTCCAGCTGTGCAGTTTGGCGTTTTTATTAATTTAGACCTCTGACAAGGAAATGTCCACAGACAGACAGCTCCATCTCGTCTTGGGACGGGTGTATAAAAACCCATTTCATGTCTTATAAACCAGTAGTTCCCAACCCTGGTCCTTGAGGAACACCATCCTGCATGTTTTAGTTGTTTCCCTGCTCCAACACACCTGATTCAGTGATTTAATTACTTCCTCGTGTTCTACAGAAGCCTGTTAATCACCCATTTATCAAAATCAAATGTGTCGGAGCAGAGAAACAACTGGAACATGCAGGATGGCGTTCCTCAAGGACCAGGGTTGGGAACCCCTGAAGATGCTGTCTCTGCATGACTGGACATAAGGATTTTGCAGCCTGGCTTTCTAATGTTGTCGGTTCCAATCATCTTTTCCAGCATACCTCAGTAAAATTTTACCACGATGAGCCTAAAAAGCAGCTTAACGTGCTGCTTAATGACTATCAGCTGCTTCAGAGGAAGTTGCTAAGCTAATGTTTGGCTAACGCTTCAAAACAGGGACTTGTTTGCTCGTGCTGTTGTAGCTGGAGGACTTTTAGAGACATGAGTGACAGAAACAGCTCATTGCCTCATTGTTTTCTTACTCTTGATTATATTTTAGCTTTAGGCAACGTTTTTGGTTGATGTCAAAACAACACTTCAGTCATGTGAAGTCCAACATTTTGTGACCCACTTTAAACCCTGAATTATCAGAGTCAGTCAGAGTCA